AGGTTAAATTGCCGTGTTGGCACTTTGCGATAAATAAGTGGGTTTTGGGTCGCAGTTTGGGCACTCGGTCTCTAAAAGGTTTGCCATCACTGAGATATACAATGCAGGTTGCAGCAATACAAAAATGTATTCATATGATAACGCAATATACTGTACAAACTTAAGTCAAGTTTGGGCTACCTAAAGTTCTTTTCCCCTGGCGATGCACGTTTCTATAGTCACTTTCCACCCAGCATAGGATCCCCGAGACAGCAAAGAGAGCCAGTTTGGTGTAGTGGTTGAGTGTGTGGACTCTAATCTGGGCAGCAATACAAAAATGTATTCACATGATAACGCAATATACTGTACAAACTTAAGTCAAGTTTGGGCTACCTAGAGTTCTTTTCACCCTTTCCCCAACTTTGTGGTGCCCCCTTTGGCCCTGGTGCCCTAAGCAGGTACTTAGTCTGCTTCATGGTTAATCCACCCCTGGCGATGCATGTTTCTGTAGTCACTTTCCACCCAGCGTAGGATCCCCGAGACAGCAAAGAGTTAAACAAAATTACAACAGGCTTTTGATAGCTGCAGGATAAACATAAATGGAAACAACGATTAAACACAATACATGTGCAGGTAAAACACATAAACCAGGAAGGAGGATCGGGGCAGGAATGCCAGGTGAAACAGGGAAGTCCTTACCTGGTGAAAAGCAATGATAGGACAGATGGATCTCCCCAGAGAGGGAATTCCAGAACTGTGGGTTTTTCTTGGGTTGCCACCCCTTAGCCTCAGGTGGTGGGCCCCTGAAGATGACCACAGTGGTTGGGTATTTGTTTGTTCGCACCCTTTATAGTTGGCCTTTCTCACTAAGACGCAAGGTGGATGACGCACCCCAACATGGTGTCTGGTGCCTGCCAAGTGTTTTTAGGAAGTGGGTGGGGCCAGGTAGGGTTTTTGCACGGCAAGGCTTCTGATTGGCTATTCAGCATTCGATTGCCTGTGTAGAATTATTGAAATGTTTTATTTAGCTGCAGCGGCCGCCAGCCGTGCCAGTCGTTTTGTGACTGGCTCTTGCCTCCTGTGGCGGCCATTTTGTGGCAGCCATTTTGTTGCTGGGGGTCCTGATTGCTGTGTCGGAATTCTAAAGGGTTGAGGAGGTTGGGGACCCCTGGATTACACAGTGTATGTCAATACAGTTAGCAGGGTAGGTTCATATGGGAAGTAGGCAGTCCTATGTTGGTCCCAAGCTGTATAGGGTGTTAAAGGTCAGCAGCAGCACCTTGAACTGGCCTGGAAGCTAACTGGGAGCCCCTGTAGGTAGAACAGAACTGGCGTGATGAGGTCCCTACAGAGGAGGAGGAGGAGAAGAAGAGATTGGATTTATACCCCGCCCTTCGCTACCCAAAGGTGTCTCAGAGCGGCTTACAAACTCCTTTCCCTTCCCCACAACAGACACCCTGTGAGGTAGGTGGGGCCGAGAGAGCTCTTAACAGAAACTGCTCTTTTTCACGAACAGCTCTTATCAGAGCTACGGCTTGCCCAAGGTCATCCAGCAGGTGCAAGTGGAGGAGTGGGGAATCAAACCCGGTTCTCCCAGATTAGAGTCCGCACACTTAACCACATGGATGTGATTCTTTAGTTTGATATAGACTGCTTTAAACAGTGCTCACTATGCTCTTCAGCCAGGTACAAGAAAATGATAAGTTGGCTTCTTAAAGCTCTTTTGAACATGTACCGTATCTTTTGGAATGATTTTGCGTCATGTGACTTAATGATTGTATATAATGCCCTCTTACCATTGGGAGCTAAGACACTGTCCGTTCTTGAAGATATGAATTGAGATTAGTAGAGCTATTCATAGCCAGTACGGTAAGATGCATATTTGCACATTAGAAAGTTTTAAGAAATTCTAATCTTTGAATGGTTACTTTAATACTGAGTGTATGTTTTAATAATTCTGACTTTACTGTATTTATTTGTAGATAACGAGGTTTATACAGATATAAATGGGATTGTTACGTGAGAAAAAACACTTTGACACCGTATGTATAAAAATACAAAAAAATATTTGTTTATTGATTGACTGAAGTTGGGTTTCTGGTTTAACATCTCGAGTTTTTGCTTGTTCTTTGAAATAGGAATTTTGACAAAGATTCTGAAACGAACTTGCAAAAACTCGAGATGTTCGTCAATTTCATCTAAATGCACCTGTGGAATAAAGAAGAAAATATTTATAGTTTTTGTATAATTTTCCTTTGTTCTATGAATGTGTGAACTCCTTACAGCAATCGCTTTTGGCTTTGTGGTTCGTCATCCTTTTTTATCCTTGCCACAACCCTATGTGGGAGGTTAGGCCGAGAGAGATTCACTGGCCCAGGGTGACCCAGTGAGCTTTCATGGTGGAACTCAGATTTGAATCGGGGTCTGCCAGTTCCTAGTCCAACACTCGAACCACTATACCGCATCTGCTGCCATGCATAC